GCCATCCCGGGAAAACTTTTTACTTGTTTCCAGACCCTTTGAACATTGATAACAATGCATGCGGTTACCAAACATAGGTAAGTTGTCCCGGGTGGTAGGGTAACCCTACCTGTGAAATTTTGCTTGTAAACCTGGGCTATCTTTGACCCTCCTGCTAGGGTAACCCTAGCACAAGGGTTACCCTCCTTGCTTGTAAACAGGGCCTTAGTTAGTGATTTTGTCATAATGCTTCAAGGACGATCATATGGATTGTGTATTTTGTTACTTATTGGTTTTTCAGATTGTCCACCTGGTTGCATTGTAAACTTTATTATATCTTATTGGTTATTATTAATTGTCTTTCTAATTTAGAATGGAATTCCAGTTATGATGGTTGATTTGGATGAGAGTAAGCCTTCAGATTTTGAAAGAAGAAGCCCCCTTGGCACTGTGCCATTATTGCAAGATGGTGACCATAATATTTATGGGAGGTAAACTTTTATCATAAGGCTCATCTTTACTAGGCGGCTAGAAGGGTTTTAGATTGAAGAGCCTCTATTCTCAGTGGGGAAAAATTTGATCCATGAATAGCTGAAGTTTAGAAATATTTACCAATTGAAAATATACCTTCGACTTGGAAAAATGTATCTCCTACTGTATCACAATTTTTTGACACAATCTACTCAATGATAATGAAACCAATTACACAAGTAACCTGAGTTATCACGAGCATTATAGGTGTGTGTCACTCACACTGCCAATATATATGTTTTTAGGCCAGCTTAGCTGGAGTCATAGTCAAATGAGCATTAGGGCCTCCTATTCAGTGATGGAACTGGGAGGATCAAGTTTCAGGAGCAACTGAACACTGTCTTATGTTTCCTTCTTTTTATGTTTAATTTTTTTTCCATAAAGTCGTAGTAGTAGCAAGTATGATAAATATTGTAAGAAATAAACAAATTTTTTGAGAGACATGTTTTGGCATGCTTATGCCATCTTCAATCAATGAGTAACAGAATGTGAGTAATTATATGATTTAGACAATTTTATTCATCGACTTGTCTGTTATATGATTACTCACGTTCTGTTACTCATTGATTGAAGATGGCATAAGCATGCCGAAACATGTCTCTCAAAAAAATTGTCTATTTCTTACAATTTTTAATTTTTTTATTCTTTCTCTTTATAGCCAAGCTATAGTCTATTACTTGGCAGAGAAATACACAAACTATGCAGGTTTTGGAAAAGACAATGAAAGACTACTGATAGAGTCGGTCATTAACTGGGCTGCCACTACATTACTGAGGTAATATACAGTACTAGATGAGGTTCATTTTTCTAAAATAGTCAGCTGTCCAATGTATTCCACTCTGTACATAAAAATTATATAAAAAAAGACAAAGTCATGCTCTTTGCTCACTTTGGTGACCCATAAATTTATTGGCAAGGTGTAAAATTAGATCCCCTCCCAAAATGGTTTACCCTGCATTAGAAATTTCTAACACAAAAAAAAATATGTTTTATAGCAGAAAGGGCTGTAGCTAGGGAAAATTAGTATGCAGGTTAAGAATAGAACTGAACCAGCTCAAGGAGAGTTTGACTCTCATTTTTTTGCAACCCCTGCCACCAACTGAAGCTTCATGCTTACATGACTACAAATCCAGGTTATTGAAGGAGGGCACGGCAAGCAAGTACCCTTTCCAATGTTGTAGATAAATGTTCCAATTGATCTGTTTGATCTCTTTGTTCTGTTCAATCTGTTTAATTAGTATTATCTGACTCTTATGATCAGGTATGTTTGACTAAAAAAGGAAAACAAGATTTGAATAAAGGGTACCCTGTAGTAAATGAAACGAAACAAATCAAAATACTACTCGTGAAAATTTTGTAGGACTAATGGAAACAACAGCAAGCAACAAACTTGTGGGCAGGTAGTGTAGACCATAATACACAAACTAAATACTTCATCAACTGATCTGTTTCTATAATGAAACCATTTTTCATAGGGATGTTGGAAACAATTATGTCTTCCCAAGCTTAAACTGGCCAGAAGTTGCCTTGGCCAAGGGAAAAAACTCATCTCTAGTAGAATTTGGCAAGAATGAGGTGATCTTTCACCTGGATGTCTTAGAAAAACACTATTTGTCTCACCATGAGTTCCTTTGTGGTGACTCATCCACCATTGCAGATTGCTGGGTTGCTGTAGTCCTCTCTTTGTTGGAGCTGGTGAGTTTTGACGTAACACCCTGGCCAAGGCTGAGGTCATGGATGTGCAGTATGAAGTCCAATGGTGATTATGTGGATGTCAGTTATAATCACGAAGAAATGGTTCGGAAGAGTTTGTATAGTTTGAATGGCAGTGCCTCAGATCTGAAGACCGTGGGTGATGGGAATCTCACCTAATTGCTTGAACATATTTCTCTACAAACAGCTTAAAGCATACTTCATTTATTAGGAACTTATTTATTGCCTCAAAGATTGTTTCATTAATGTAAATATAAACTACTAGCAGTCTGCTGTTATCTTGACAAAAAAGGGAGAAACATCCTCCTGTGGTAAAAAGATTTGTAACAAGAGATCGGGACAGGATGCAGACAGGATAGGGTGCGTTTGAACGTGGTCCCTTCTTGCCATACCTTGTTATTCATTTCCTTGCTCTTTACACTCCTTGAACTGCAGAGAGATCCTGGCTAATTTCATGTTTAGTGGGTAATATTCTTTTTTTGTTTTCTGATAGAGGGGTTTGATTTCTTACACCCAGTTAAAGACTTTGAACTCACATTTTTTTAATCTTGCATGAAAATTCTATCTTTTTTGCGGAATATTTTTACGGTATATTTTTACGGTGTGAACTCAGTGAAGGGGCACTGCTTTGAGCGACGACCAGAGATTAATAATACTCTGAAAGAGTTCGGCCCCTGTCACTAAAACTACGAGATGAAAGTTGCCCAAAGGAACCTTAATTGTGCTTTTTCGCGTAGTCCTATGTTCCACTTGGGTTTTTTTTTTTTCGAGGGATGGGGGAAAAGGATTTTGCTAGATTAGTTAGTAATAGCATTTCTGCATTTGAAATGAGGGCTCAAGAATGGTTAGAGGTGTAAGAACAATTATCACTTCAACATTATTATATTATTATTATTATTACTATTATTATTATTATTATTATTATTATTATTATTATACATACTTTATTTAAGGTATCAAAGAATAAATTAGGTCCCTGGCTTTTCCTGACTATGATAGACGAGTTCGCAATCACCAACGCCACCCTATGGAAATTTGTGGACGATACGACGGCCTCAGAAGTTGTGAAGAAAGGTCACCCCAGTGGAGCTCAAAATACCACGAACCAAGTAATAGGGTGGTCGAAGAAAAACAGGCTTATACTAAACACAGACAAATGCAAAGAGCTGCGAATTGGTTTCCCTTCAGTTCAAAGGGATTTCGATCCAGTTTCAATAGATGGTAAACACATGAAATTGGTTAAACAAGCCATAGTCAGCCTATGAACAAGCCAAACACTTGGGTGTTATCATCTCCGAAGATTTGAAATGGAACGCTCACATAACTGAGATTACCAAGAAAGCAGCAAAGAGAACCTATTTCCTGGTTCAGCTAAAAAGAGCTCACGTTCCACCAAAAGACCTTTGCCTCTTTTATACGGCATGTGTACGATCCGTAATCGATTATGCAGCACAAGTTTTTCATTACTCTCTCCCAATATTTTTGCTTTTCTCGAGAGGAACCCTATTCCCCTATTGCAGGTGATGGTTGTGGCGATCTGGATATTTCCTCTCTATAATTAACAATTATTCCACGAGTGCGCGTTGGATATGCGATGATAGATAGCCAACGAGGCGCTACGCGCCGAGTTGGCTATAATCATCTCATATCCAACAAGCGCGAGTGGAATAATTGTTTTATTAAAAACGCCCTCAAGAAATTATTATTTTGTAAGAAGAAACTGGATTTTTTAGCTCCCTTTTGATTTTAAGCTGACGCGTACGCTTACCATATTTGTAGATTATGGTATATTGGCTGATATACCATAATGGCTAAGCCAATAAAAAGTCTTGAATTGCATTATCCAATGATCCAGTTTTTAATAATTAATATTATATGGACGACATTTCTGAAGGCTATCGGCCGTGCACCGTAGCTGCTGCACAAAAATAATTTAATCGATTGATTTATTTTCATAAAATACTGAACAACACGAAATGCAAAAGTTCTGAGATGCCTGTATACAGAACTATTAAGTTAAAAGGCCTGTAAGGGTCGTGCATCTTACAAAAACAAAATGCAACTTCAAGTATATACACTACTTGATCAGCAAACGTTTTCGCTGTCTGTTCTCATATTAACAATANTGGCTGATATACCATAATGGCTAAGCCAATAAAAAGTCTTGAATTGCATTATCCAATGATCCAGTTTTTAATAATTAACAATTATTCCACGAGCGCGCGTTGGATATGAGATGATAGATAGCCAACGAGGCGCGTAGCGCCGAGTTGGCTATAATCATCTCATATCCAACAAGCGCGAGTGGAATAATTGTTTTATTAAAAACGCCCTCAAGAAATTATTATTTTGTAAGAAGAAACTGGATTTTTTAGCTCCCTTTTGATTTTAAGCTGACGCGTACGCTTACCATATTTGTAGATTATGGTATATTGGCTGATATACCATAATGGCTAAGCCAATAAAAAATCTTGAATTGCATTATCCAATAATCCAGTTTTTAATAATAACTATTGTTGACCTTCAATAAGCCAAAATTTTTGCTTTTCTTGAGAGGAACCCTATTCCCCTATTACAGGTGATCTTTGTGGCGATCTGGATATTTCCTCTCTATAATCCTAAATAGAACACAAATTCCATTGTCCAGTGCCTTTCTAGCCCTCTCATGGGCTAATCTTTACAGCTCTTCGGCAAGAATCTTCCATTCTAGATTTCAGTGTCACGGTCTCCTATAAAATTATTCATTATTCAGAATATCTGACAAGGCTGGCGAATTGCAAACTTCCCTCTAGGAGCGTAAAATATTTTGACGGAAAACAGTTAACTGTAGGCATTCTTACTCGCGCACATGATGTACAGATGTGATGTAAGAGTGCGCTTTGCCTCGGGACGCAGCTTGGTTTACTTGAGCTACAATTGTACGTAGACGTTTTCTCTTAACAGCCTATGTCTTTGTTTCCCTTTCCCTAAAATATCCCACCTATTCAGTATAGAGGTTACTGATGTCCTCATCAGGCGGCTGTATTCAACATTGTTTGCGATGGAGGAGGGGAAGTTCACGGATATGATTAACTTTTTTCGTAAAAAAATTGAAGGTACTTAACGAGGACCTTGAACGATATTTTCCTGGCTTGTCAAGTACTGTTTGTCGCTACTTTTTTCGTCATCAAGAGTTTTATATGCTCACGTTACCGAGCAAGTAGCTCGTTGAAGGGTCGTTGAAACCAGCAACTTATCTCCAAATTTCGTCCTCGCTCAGCTATGGTCTGACCAATGTCAGCTCTGGTTGCGTTTAAACGCTACATAGTGTTTCAGCTTGTTTTTAACTTGTTCCGTTCTATTGCATTTCCTATTTTTGAATGGGTGTAAAAAGTAAGTTATACACTGCATTCAAACGAGGTGCAAATTAATGAATGCTCACGCTTTGCTATTATTTGCCCCTTTCTTGTTGTTATGTTTATAAAAGTAAACGAATGACCTGACAAATAAACCGAAAAAAGTTTAAGTTTAGGACCAGCGAGGTTCTTTCGAGCCGAGAGGAAACGGGTCTAGCAGCTTTTATTTCACTTCTTTAAAGTAGTAGCTAAATAAAGTAGCTAAAACTTCCTTACAACGACAACGCCATTCCAATACCTTCTTTCTTTTTGACACTTACTGAATTGGTTACTTTGAACTGCGCCGGCCGTATGCAGCTCCACCGGCCGGCCGTATGCAACTCCGCCGGCCGGCCCGGCCATATGCAGCCACAATTAAACCTTTTGAAAATAATTTTCAGTTCGAGAGAACAGGCAATATCTGGAGTTAGTCAATTCAGACTTTTGGTCTTGCGAGAATGATTCTTTCTTCGACTTACCAACCTCGCCAATGGCTTTGCTGAGCTCAGCAATGATTAAAACAGTGGACATTTTGCTGAAGTTTCCTTAGCGGAGCACTGAGTTCTCGAGTATATACCTCGACGACGATAATTCTGCTTCAGGGAAGATTTTGCTGAGCCTCCCTTTTTAAAGGATTTTGGAGGCGGTCAGAGAAAGGAGACGGCAGACTGAAGGCAGTGCTTTGCCGTATAAATTTCCTAACCACTGAAAAAGAAATTTTCTTCAAAAATTTTTTTTTCCATTTGGAATGAACCGATTTCTCATGCATTGAATCGTTCGTGAAATGTGCAGACACGGTTGTATATATCAATAATATGTAAGACCCCCTTCATTACTACCCTTAAATTCACAGCACAAAAACAACCACACCGAGAAAAGTAATAGCAACAACAACAATTCAGATACCAACAAAAATACTCCTGTAGTTGCGCAAATGCCGACTGATGAATTAACATTTAGGTGCATAGGAATCTTTTAAAGACGCCTCAGTAGCAACTGATGAGCCGTAGGAAGGATTGAACACTTTCATTTTCTTCTCGGAAAGCTCGTAGCCATTTCAGTGATAGCGGCTTGCTCAACAAGAATCTTTTTTTTAAATCGCAATTTGAGGCGAATTCGAAGCTTCTTATTAAAAAACGCGCACACACAAATGCAACGAGGAAAAAAAAAACACATACCGGGTTAGACTTTCTCAAAGTCCGTTTTAGGCCTGTCCCTATTGTGCTCGGCAACTTTTGAGCAACTTTTGGCGTTCGGAGCATTTTTTTGCGGTTCTAACAACCTAGTGCAATTTTTATTACTTTTTGAGCAATGTTTTAACAATATATAGGTTTGGAGCACATACCAAGCTCGAAAAAGCTCAATCAGTCGCTATCGACAGGGAAGTTTCCTTCACCCTTGAAGTTGTCACATGTTCGTCCACGTCTGAAAAAGGAGAATCTTGTCTATGAGATTTTTAAGAACTATCGTCCGGTGGCTAATATTCCCTTTCTTAGCAAAGTTACTGAGAAGGTAGCAGCAACACAAGTATACAACTATCTTGAATCTTACAACCGTTGCTACCCACTATGCAGTCTGCGTATAGGAAACACCATTCTACGGAGACAACTTTGCTCCGTCTGACGAACGACATTCTGAGAACGATTGACCGCCGTCGAGATATAGTATTAGTCCTTCTTGATCTATCGGCGGCTTTTTACACCACTGACCATGTGATCCTGGTGGAAAGACTCGAATCCTACTTTGGTTTCTCACAACTGACGCTGAACTGGTTCAGTTTAAATCGAACCTTGAAAACCGTCGTCAATCAATAATTCAGTATTAGAGATCAAGTGTCCACTCCTCGCGCTCTTCGTTATGGTGTCCCACAAGGTTCCATACTTGGACCCCTACTTTTCACCCTGTATATTGCCCCTCTGCGAGATGTCATTGCTCGCCACAATCTCGAATCTTTGTTTTACGCCGACGACACTCAATTATATATTACTACCGATCCCGCAAATCACGCCCCGTCTATGACTGCCCTCCAAACGGCTGCATTGAGGACGTAATGCGATGGAATACCCAAAATATGCTAAGAAGTAATGATGAAAAGACTGAACTTATTTTATTCACCTCCCGATTTACCAAGACACCTAACATTGAGAAGCTCTTTTTTGACAGTTCCGTCATTGAACTAACTAAGAAAGTCCGTGATCTTGGTGTTATTTTAGATAAAAATCTATCACAGACATACCACATTAATGAGACTTGCAGAAAAGGAACTAATGCCATCAGATCCATAGGGCGCATTCGTACTGATACCTCACTAATGAAAACCTTAAACTATTAGTCAATGCTCTCGTAATATCACGACTGGACTACTGTAACACTATCCTCTATGGTCTACCGAAACGGGAACTCGACAAACTCCAGAGAGTTCAAAACGCTGCAGCACGTCTTATTACCGGATCTAAAAAATATGATCACATCAAACCTGCTCTTCAAAAACTACACTGGCTGCCAATTGAATCACGTATAATATTTAAAGTTATTCTTATTACTTTTAAGATTCTTCATGGACTTGCTCCGGTCTATTTGTCGTCCCTGTTACAAGAATATCATCCACCACGTACTCCACGTTCATCTTCCAAATCACTTCTTACTGCCCCCACTATAAATTCTGTGACATACGGTGAACGTACGTTCTCCTTCCATGCACCTACATTATGGAATACTCTTCCTGATTCTCTTAAATCTGCAGCTTCTCTTTTGTCTTTTAAATGTTCCCTTAAAATATTCCTATTCCGCAAATTTTATTTTTAGTATTGTGAAACACTACATAGGTTTTTATCCCATTTAACTTTATTTTTGTTAGTGTAGGTAATACTGACTGTTAGTATCATTGTTATATTTTATTTTTATTATGCTATGTAAGCGCATTGAGATTCTTAAATGCGCTCATGAAAACCTTACTATTGTTCTCAATAAAGAGACTTTAAATTTAAATTTACAAGACATGTTTCGACATTCTCATGTCATCTTCAGTTGCATATGAGCTTTTAACGGTTTAATATTAGCGGCTGACTATTAAATACACGAAAAATGAAAATAGCTCGCGCATAACTGGACCAAAAAAAAAAAAATAATAATAATGATATAAATAAATACATAAAAGACAAAAGGAACAACATAATTAAAAGGAAAGAGACAGATCTAGATGCTTCAATTGCTGATTAAGAATGGGTTGTTCCAACTTAATATGCAATGCATTTTTAATCTTAATTTGGAATTTTGAGGCGGCAGAATCTAAGATCGTGAAACATTCTGTATCACAAGAGTCAAGACAGGCCCTTGATGATTGCAGGTGCCGATAAATATGCGAAGACCTGTCCGACAAGAGGTGCTCACGAACTCGTGTACAAATGTGGCGAGTGGTCTCACCAATTAATGTAACTGGCATTACAGCCATTTATCGGCACACGAAAATTTATAAACGACACGCGAACGTAGACCTAACGGTACTGAATCTTTCACACTGAACATGTTTCTGAGTTTGAACGTACTGAAGACTAACTTAACATCTAAATCAGCTTTACAATAACGTTTGAGTAGTTGCCTTAACTTAGTCTGTGCGATTTTTGAAAACCGGCCAACATAAGGAAGTTTCTAATAGTGCGAAGAAGGTTTTCTGGAGTCAGATGAGGCGTTCTGCCCAGTAAGACAAGGATTATTTTTCTTAGCTAGATATCTGTAAATGATCCCGTCTATGACCCAAGATGGAAAATAGTTTTTACGTAGCAAGAAAATAAGCTTCGTAAAATCCAGATGAAAACCAGCCCAGGAATTATTGATTATATATAATCTGTCAACCAATGTTCTGACTAAGCCCAGTTTGTAAATCAAAGAGGCGAAGCTGAAATAATTAGTAAGAAGACCAGTAAACGTCTTCTTGCGATATACACTGGTGACGATGGATGGATGACTGTTGTATAACAATACAGGGGTTTCAATAACATTAGTTATAAGCGGCCACTGAAGGTTTAATAGGCGGCTGTGACCACTAATATCACTTTTTATTTTCATGAATGTGAAATCCAAACAGACGGCGGTAAGAGGTCCTACAGGCGGCGGCAGACCACCGGTAACCGGATTTTTTTGAAACCCCTGCAATATATCTAGAAACGATAATTTATTATCAATTTCCCTGTCCATTGTGAAACGAATACTGGGGTGCCTGGTGCATGGTGTTGATATAATCAAAGATCACGAGCGCGTCCTCCTCGCTATTGAAAAAACAAAAGGTGTCATCAACAGAACTTCAGAGGATGAATCGTTATCTAACCAGTTTTTATCATGATGTCCCATAAAGAGGTTTGCAAGTACTGGGGCAAGCGGGGACCCCATGGCAACCCCATCTATTTGATCATAAAACACACCACCCCTAAATAAGAAACCGGTCTCTGCTGTTGCAAAGGTAAAAAACATTTTTAGGTCAACGACGTTTATCTTAAGACCAGGGTTACCTTGATAAATGTATGTGATCGCTAGATCAATGCATTCATCAAGAGGTATACTAGTGAACAACCTCTAAACATCGAAAGAGACCGTGAACTTAACTGAGGTTGATTTCATGTACAAAAGAAAACGTGTCGCGGACGTTGTATACACGCGGGACATGTGGCTCTAAACTTACTATTATTTATTGATATAGTAAGAAGTAGACAACGTTTTTGAGAGACATGTTTCGGCATGCTTATGCCATCTTCAATCAATGAGTAACTGAACATGAGTAATTATATAACAGATAAATAGATGAATAAAATATTTACAGTATGATGTAATACAAAAGCGGATACTAATTACAACGTGACACCAAACATCAGGCGTGAACTAAAACGCTAGAAAAGTGTTATAATGCTGTAATTGTTTGTTAAGTTCAGGTTTGATCTTATTTATATAAAAAGCTTCTTTGAGTTTTAAATCAAGTGAGTTGTTAGCAGAATCCAGAACACTAAAGCAAGAAAGGGAGTATTTGTTCTTACAAGAAGGAGATGTGTTGAAATGCTTAAAAATATGCGAGTTTTTATCGCTTTCCGTGTGCTCCTTTATCCTAGTAGAGAAGTGGCGACTAGTTTCGCCAATATAACGGGAATTACATCCCGCACAAGAAAATTGATAAACTACCATGGATTTTAGAGCATCAGGAGTACGATCTTTAACACTGAACATGTTTTTAATTTTNCCTATCTGCTAACAACTCACTTGATTTAAAACTCAAAGAAGCTTTTTATATAAATAAGATCAAACCTGAACTTAACAAACAATTACAGCATTATAACACTTTTCTAGCGTTTTAGTTCACGCCTGATGTTTGGTGTCACGTTGTAATTAGTATCCGCTTTTGTATTACATCATACTGTAAATATTTTATTCATCTACTTGTCTGTTATATAATTACTCACTTTCAGTTACTCATTGATTGAAGATGGCATAAGTATGCCGAAAAAAGTTGTCTATTTCTTACAATTTTGACCTTATAATTATTAAAAAGTTAACGATTTCATAAAAAAAAAAAACTTTAATTACTTATGAGAATTTCTTGAATTGTTACCCACCTAATAAAACACACTTGAAGCTATCATGTGTTTCGTTCCCTTGGAGTAACAACTTTTAAAATTCAGGCAGCAAAGTTTCATCTACCCCACCCCACTCCTAACCATGGCTTACTGTTCCCATAGTGACACCGCTGGACGTATATACTGTCGGCTCTTGAAGAGTGGGAAGATCCCGCGAGATTCTGTGGTAGCCTCTAGTGAAGCCGTTTGTTGATTGTTTTAAGCCCAAAGATGTCTCTTTTTGCGTGCACTAATTGTAACAGCCGCCATCCATTTGAACAACTTTCTAAAGGAGATCAACTTTGTAAGGTATGTTGTAATATTTATTAGTGTTTCGAATGATGATTAGGTAAAAACTTAGGTTTGGTAAATTTAATTAGTTAGTGGCTAGCTTTGCTTATAGATTTCAAGTTCGACATACATCTACCTGTTAGTCATAGAGAAAAAAGAGTCGATTCGTACATTAGTTTGCTGTGTGAACGATGGAACCTGATTAATCCGGGCTCTTTTGGGGGAAAATTAGAGTTTCGTGTATCTGATCGAGGCGACTATGTAATCTAGCTCTGTTAGCATGGATTGGTGATGTCAACATAATTGCCGGCTCTTAGCCAGTAAGGGAACATAGAATTATCCAGCCGATTTTTTGGGGGATTTTTTAAAATGTCTCCAAACTAGTCATTTTAAAAAAACATGTATGCCTGTCGATGCTAATATTAAAATTCCCTTTGAATAAAACTAAAATGAACACCTGAAATTTTTTCCCATTTGCTCCCTTCACATCACTTGTTATGCAATTAAGTTTTCATCACGTGATTCAGAGTATTTCGTAAATAAACCCCTGCTGTCATGTTGGCTGATAATCTCAGGAACTGAGATAGTGCCTGATATGAATGAATATTTGGCCGAGAAGTGAAGCTTTGAGGGCAAATGTAAATTCTCTTGGCCAAGGATGTTATCAGCCAACATAGATACCAGCAAGTAAGATGGTTCTTTATTTATTTTATAACCCTTTCATTAATTTTCATATTGTGTTTTGACAGCAAATTTTGTCGACTTTTTGGTACTTTCCTGACCACACTTGAGATCAGCTTTTTAATGTCACTTTCAGTGGACTCTGAAATGAGTTTGTTTTTCTTTGATTTTAAGTAATATAATTGAAAAAGGGAAGAAGTCAGCAGAAGTTTCACAATCTGTGCTGCCAATTTTGCACTACTATGCTTTCAATTAAAGTTTGGGATCAATTTATCTTCTTTCAGGCATGAATCAAAGTGAACTTTCATTTCTTATTAGCCAGTATTCTAGCCATTTTTATCTCTCTTATTTCTTCTTCTTCCTATTGCTTTCTTTTCATAGGATTGCAGAAAGACATTTCCATTGGTAACTTGTACTTATTGCCGGCTTGAGTTTCATCTTCTCAGGTCAGTTCATGTCAGTCAATCAAGCAGTTGATCATTCACACAATCAGTTAGTTGAAGGGTCAGACAGCAAGTCTTTGAATTAGTCAAATTCAATTGAAACAGTGAGTCAGTAGATCAGCCAGTTAGTCAATCAGTCATTTATAGCCAGTCAATTATTTGGTTAGTCAGTGAGTCAGTCAATAACTCAGTCAGTGAGTCAAACTGGGAATCTTTGAGTCTTTCTATCAGTCAGCAAGTCCGTCAGTCAGTCAGTCATTGAGTCAGTTAATTAGTGAGTAAGTCAATCAACAGTCAGTCAGTGAGTCAGTTAGTTTGTCAGTTGGCCTGTCAATCTCTCGGTCAATCTCTTCATCAGTTTGTCAGTTGTCTGGTTAGTCTGTTGGTCAATCTTTTCACCCATTTGTCCTGCAATGAATGATAAATAACAGTGTATTAAATAAGCTTTAAACTGACTAAAAGTCAGCCCTTAAGTGATATCAAATTACTTTGGAAAATCTCCAAAATAGAGGTACATATTAAACAAATCCTAAATTAATTGCCACAAGAAGTACCACATGGAGATACACAAATGGTATTACTGAATTTGTTTTTTTTACTGAATTTGTCCCTGGTACTGAAAGAATTGATGAAAATTCCTAATTAAAAGTAGTTATTAAGTATGTTATTATCTGCTAATTCAGAATTTTACTATCTGTCAGCTATAATGTGATGAGTGGGTTTAGGTTGTTGATTATCTTGATTTGTTTTTGTAGGAACACTGAAAAAGATCCAATTTGCAAGAAATGCAGCCATAACCTTAAAACTTATGGCCAGGTAATGTATAGATCATAGCTTCATGTACCTGTAAGAGTAATCTGTTACTGCTGTACTTGTTAATGTATTTAATGCACTCTTCATACTTTGTACTCTTCATGCTGTCAATTTCTACCCTGTTATTTTATTTTTAGCCTTCTTGTTGTGAGTACTGCAATATAAGAGCTGCATTTGATGGAACAAAGTGCTCTAGGTAATTAATTCCAAGAATCTATGTTACCGGTACCCATCTTTTTTGTTTGACTTTGAAGTACATACATGTACATTGTGATACAACTGCTGTACCTTACATTTTGAACTGAAATTCAGTGAATCGTACTTCTGAACAGTAGTTGATTTGTTAGTTTATATCATGTACAGTGGAATCCCGATTTCTTGAACCCTCGGTTTCTCGAATCCCCTGATATGTCGAACCAAACCTTGTTTCCCTTGGATTTGCTTCACTTATCACTTCACCCCCGATTTCTCGGACTCCCAATTTCTTGAACCAATTTGCGTTTCCCCTGGAGGTTTGAGAAATCGGGATTCTACTGTAGTACATCTCCCTTTGTCCCAATGTCTTGTCCAGGTTGGTGCAAATGGCAATTGCCTTATGCATTTTAAGAGGGATTTAGGTAGACTTAATTTGAATAAATTTGGTGCCACATGTCATCTTAGCACAACTTCACTTTCACACAAGTTATGTCATTTAACAGTTCTGCAACAGTCATCACTATTATATGTGGTGTGTTTTAAACAAGGCAATTAGTTGAAGCCACAGTTAATACGTAAAGACAAATAGACACTCAATTTCACTCTTAGACTTGCTCATTAACCTGTCCATTTACCTTCCACAATATTTTTATATGCTGGAGGTTTGGGCCTCTTAAAGTTCATCTGCTTTGTGCAAAGTCTTTGGCATTACTCTCAGCGACTCTTTCGGACATTTGCATGCAGCCACCAGCTTCAAATTCAAAATAGGTTTTGCACAGAGGGAAAATAGTTGTGAAGGGTTTGGGTTTTCTTGACAAACTCAATGCTTCTCGACAATCAAGAAATTATGATTGTTCCTTTAGGTGTTTGAGTTCAGAAAAGAAGTATGGTGCTCCTGTAGCTTGTGAACAGTGTAAGCTAAACTGTGCTTTCCAGAAGACAACAGAGTCAAGGGAAAAGGTCAGACAATGTTTCATTTGGCAAGGTAGAAATGTGTCATACAAGAATAACAATGTTGCAATGCTTGCAAGTTTTTGAGGGGTGTAAACCAAGTTTGCTGCAGCTGTAACTTTCATCCAGAAGATGCCCAGATTCTTTTAATAGTCTAATTTCTTATAAAACTGTGCACAGAATTATTAATGTGGAAAATTCAATGTGAAGTACATCATACTAGACAGCTGTTTGGAGAATGGGTGTCTTTGAGTTTTGCAAAAAGGTAAAATACCAATTGCCAGTGCTGAATGGTTTTTTGAGGAACCCAGTGGAAAAAAAAAAAAAACTGAAGAGTGCTTATGAAAAACAATCTTTCTTGGAAGGTTTGTCAGTCCTGGGGTAATTGTAAAGATGTCATCATCATCATCATCAATCCCTTTCATGCTTCGTGGCACATAGGGCCTTCACAGAGCTTTTCCACTGCTCTTGATTGGTTGCTGCTGTCCACACCTCCTCCCATGACCTCCAACCTGCCTCTTGCCTTTCTTTCTCTACTGTACATCTCCAAGTGGTTTTTGGTCTTCCCCTTCTCCTTTTACCTTCTGGCGCCCAGCTCATAGCAACATTGCAATCATTACTACGATCTTTCATAAGAGTATGACCAATCATTTTCCATCTACGAGACATCACTTCCGCACTCAGTGGCTTCATGCCTGCTCTTTCCAGTAGCTCTTTGGTGCTGACATAGTCTTGCCATCAGATTCCGAGGATCCTTCATAGGCACCTATTATGGAATACATTCACTGCTTTATCATCTCCTTTGTTCATCTTCCATGTCTCAGATCCATAGAGTAACATTGGCACTACTAGAGTTTTGTACAGCCTCAGTTTTGTTTTCCTCAAGATGTTATTAGAGATCCAGATCTTCTTTAGTTTGTTAAAGGCACCTCTGGCTTTTGATAACCTGTTCTTCAAGTCCTTCATACCACCATCCTCTCTACAAACTTTGGCCCCCAAGTACACGAACTCATCGACATCAAAGATGTCACTATCTGTTATTTGTAGCCTCTACAGGCTCGAACACCATAGTGAGACCTGATATATCCTGCATGTATGCACACATGTTCTGCTCTGTATTTTTGCAATGGCAAATGTACAGTCAGATTGAATCGTTGCGTTATCTAGCAGTGTTATTGATCTCCTGACTGCGTTTCAGTAATAGCAACCCTAAGTTATTATGTAAATGAACTATAAGATGACAGATAAATTATGGAGTACATAACCAGATGCAATTTTTTATGTAAGATTCTCACAATCCCAATAATGCAAGAAGCCCTAGGGCATATTCAGTAAGTTTCAGCAAACCAGACTTGGTAAATTCAACTGAAATTAAAGTTAAACTTAGTTTATATTGTTTTTAGGTTGATGGGAAAACACTATGTCTTTTATGTACATTATCTTATAAGAGAATATTATACAAAACCAAAAAGGGAGAGAAGAGACTCAGTGGGAAAGATCATAAGAGAGACAGGTATATCATCATACTTTACCTTTGGCCCTTAATTTAGACAGGTACATCATCTTACTTTAACCCTTGACCCCTAATTTAGACAAGTACATCATCATACTTTACCCATTGACCCCTAATTTAGACAGGTACATCATCAGACATTACCCTGTGACCCCTAATTTAGACAGGCACATCATCATACTTTCCCCTTGACCCCTAATTTAGACAGGTACATCATCATGCTTTACCCAATGACCCCCAATTTACACAGGTACATCATCATGCTCTACCCAATGACCCCTAATTTAGACAGTTACATCATCATGCTTTACCCAGTGACCCCTCATTTAGACAGGTACATCATCATGCATTACCCAGTGACCCCTAATTTAGACAGGTACATCGTCATGCTTTACCCAATGACCCCTAATTTAGACAGTTACATAATCTTGCTTTACCTAATGACCCCCAATTTAGACAGGTACATCGTCATGCTTTACCCAATGACCCCTAATTTAGACAGTTACATAATCATGCTTACCCAATAACCCGTAATTTAGACAGGTACATCATCATGCTTTACCCAGTGACCCCTAATTTAGACAGGTACATCATCATGCTTTACCCAGTGACCCCTAATTTAGACAGGTACATCATCATACTTTACCCTTTGGCCCCTAGTTTAGACAGGTACATCATCATGCTCTACCCAATGATCCCTAATTTAGACAGGTACATCATCATGCTTTACCCAATGACCCCTAATTTAGACGGTTACATAATCATGCTTTACCTAATGACCCCCAATTTAGACAGGTACATCATCATACTTTACCCTTTGGCCCCTAGTTTAGACAGGTACATCATCATGCTCTACCCAATGATCCCTAATTTAGACAGGTACATCATCATGCTTTACCCAGTGACCCCTAATTTAGACAGGTACATCATCATGCTTTACCCAGTGACCCCTAATTTAGACAGGTACATCATCATGCTTTACCCAGTGACCCCTAATTTAGACAGGTACATCATCATACTTTACCCTTTGGCCCCTAGTTTAGACAGGTACATCATCATGCTCTACCCAATGATCCCTAATTTAGACAGGTACATCATCATGCTTTACCCAATGACCCCTAATTTAGACATTTACATCATGCTTTACCCAGTGACCCCTAATTTAGACAGGTGCATCATCATGCTTTACCCAGTGACCCCTAATTTTGACATGCACATCATCATACTTTACATGTACCTAATGAACTGTACTTTCGGTTACATTCATGGAATCTTTAAACCATAGTAGCATCAAACCATGTCTAACCCCAAATATTTATCTAGTACATATGACTGTGAAGTATTGCTTTGTTTTGTAAACCAGGAAAGACAGACGTTCTAAGATAGCCAAGACTGAGAACAATGACAGTCCTAAAGATGGCAAGCCAGGATCAGCTGCTGCCGCTGCTCTGGAGAGGATTGGCAGTGCACGGAATAGTCCTTTGACAATGGCCCTGTACAGTAGTATGGCCAAGTAAGTTCATGATCTAGTCTTTGCCTGGAGATCACATAACATATGGTGTCTTTAAGTGATCTGACTGGTACTAAGGTCTTTTCAGACTGAATTTTTATATGCATTCATTTTGTATCATGTCAAAAATATTTGCAGTGATGCTTCAAGTGAACCTATTGCACTGGAGTCACACATAACTGAACTTACAGAACTAAAAGAACAGGTAATCCTTTTAAGCTATTTATTCTCCTGGATAAATTAATATTTAATATAATTATGTAATAAATGTGATTATGTGAGTAAGATTAACCTTATTGTTGAAATAAATTAAAACACCAGGCTCAGATATACTCAGAAATCTATTTTAAAGTTTTGCCAATTTCAATTTACTGTTGACTTTACATTGCTTTCATTTGCAAATTTCTAACCCCTCTCCTGCTCTCTCTCCACAAAAAAGAGTCTTGGAAATGGATGCTTATAATCTAAATGAAAGCTAAAAGTAAATTTTAATATAAGAGAAAAATCAAGTTTCCAGATGGGATTTGAACCCACAACCCTCTGTGATCTAGTTGGATGCTCTAACCACTGAGCTACAGGAGACTCTATGGTGAGCAAGGGTCAACTAGTGGGTATTGACTGGAACCGCATCACGCAGCTACACAGCCAAACATCAGCTAGCGCATAGAAGTTCACTAACTGCATCACGCTGTCACATTAAAGCATCACATGCATTAAAGCATCACACGCAGCCAACCAGCCCCCAAAGTGAGCATGTAAAGATGAAATAAACAATTTTTAATATAAGAGAAAAATCGAGTGATGCGGTTCCAGTCAATACCCACTGATTGACCCTTGCTCACCATTGAGTCTCCTGTAGCTCAGTGGTTAGAGCATCTGACTAGATCATGGAGGGTCGTGGGTTCAAATCCCATCTGGAAACTCGATTTTTCTCTTATATTAAAAATTGTTTATTTCATCTTTACATGCTCACTTTGGGGGCTGGTTGGCTGCAGTGATGCTTTAATGTGACAGCGTGATGCTGTTAGTGAGCTTCTAAGCACTAGCTGATGTTTGGCTGTGTAGCCACGTGATGCGGTTCCAGTCAATACCCACTAATTGACCCTTGCTCACCATAGAGTCTCCTGTAGCTCAGTGGTTAGAGCATCCGACAAGATCACGGAGGGTTGTGGGTTCAAATCCCATCTGAAAACTTGATTTTTCTCTTATATTAAAAATTGTTTATTTCATCTTAAAAGTAAATTATATGTAATAATGTAATTTATTTGTAATGAATTACTGTATCCCTTTTTGATTGAAAACTATAATTTATTTTAATTTCCTGTTCTGTAGCAGATTAAGCCAACTGTAGGGGAGAAAGAGATTCTGTTTGTATTTTGTATCCACTAAAATAATGTGAGGGTGTTGGCAAAGAAATACAAATTATGCTAATATCATTAACCACCTCCTAATATCATTAAATGCCTCCCAGTTAGCTGAACCACCTCCCAGTTAGCTCAGTAGGTTAGAGCGCCAGTCTGTTGAGGGAAAGGTCAAGGGTTCAAGCCCCGGCCGGACCAACACTCAAGGTCTTAAACTAACTGGAGGATGTGCTACCTTTCTATAATATCAAGAAATAGATAGACATTCTAGTCTTCTTGAATAGGGACAAATAGACCATAGGTCCCCTTCTCCTGCATCTATTAAATAAATTAGTTAACTTAGTTAGGCAGGGGACGTTAAAAAAACCCGCTCACGAGATTACTGTGATGTGGTCTGGCCTGTTTACTGGAAATTGGGCGCATCTGTTAGATTTTCCTTTATTCATTGTAAACTGCTACAAGCATTCTGGTAAAGTCCCCCACACGGTGTTGTAAGAATGGCCCTGAAAAGCCCTGAAAAGCCCTGAAAAGTCCTATGGGGAGTGGTCAATTAACCTATGCATTAAAGGTGGATGCATTCACTTGCATGCTGTCTGTACAGTGAATTTCATATTTTTCCCTGGTCCAATCAAGATGTTTGTATTTTTCCTTCATTTCAACAAGGTGGTGAATCTTAAAAAGCAGTTACAACAGAAGGATCAAGCATTGATTGAGAAGGAAAAAAAGGTGATCAATGTACATGTGTCTGTGTTCCTATCTTCTTTGCTAGTAATAAGAGGTGCATTTTGTTGTTGAACATTTAACCTGTTAGATAACTGTATACTTGCATCTACTAAGTCTAAGATTTAACTCTTTAACTCCCAAAATCTAATAATTATTAATTCTCCCCTCTAGCTGCTACACATTTCCTTGTAAATAAGTAACAAGAATTTGGTGCTACATCAGGATACCAACTTCTGCCTGATAAGTTTTAATATTCTATTAACTTGTTTGCTAGATAATGTATGGATATTATAGGGAGAAGTTACATGTTAATCACTTCTGGGAGTCCAGGGGTTAATTAACTGGCAGCTTTTCCGGGCCATCATGGGGTGAGAATGGACATCACATAGCATTTGCCTTTGAATTGTATCATCCGATAAAATTTAGCATTCTGATTGGTTAATGAAATGAGGTATTTAGCATGGAATTGCAGGTTGAAAACAAGGTGATGTGATATTGTTTTGCATCTATGTATACATAACTAAAAGTTATGCTCATTTTTTCTTTAACTGATATCGCATGAATCACAAAGCGATTTGTGCGATATTGGTTTTGTGTTCAATTAAATTCTAAATTCCCTTGTCAAGTAATGAATTTTCCTGCAGAATTCTTCCTTACCAGGTTAGAGAGGGGGCAAGGGAGTGGATTAAAAAAAAAAAAAAACTATGTTGGAGGCTAATTACAGATGCCTTTTCTATGTGAATTAGTTAACTGAACTGAAGGCTGATCATTGGGAAAAAGAAAAGGAATTGAGACAGAAAATGGTCCAAATGCAGAAACAGCAAGTAGAGAGAATAGAGGGCCTACAGGTTGGTAACTTTTGAAATGTCCTTCGTTTACTGTATGAATCTATATATCTTATTAACCAAGTGTGAGGGCCATACTGGGAGAATATTGGCCCGAGGTCTTGACAGTACGGACTGAGTGCAGCTAGGTCTGTACAAAAAAGACCGAGGGCTGATATTCTTCCAGTACGGTCTCGAGCAAGCTTGGTTAATAAGTGATTTATTATATGACTGAAGTTCAAAGGGACACGAGTGCGGTATCATTCGGGACAGTGCCCAGTCCAATACTGAGAGAATATTGGACTGGCAATAGAGCACTTTGATTGGTTGATTTTAGTTATTGGCCCTCTGACTGCCTGAGTCGTGTAATAAAAATATTTCATCACCAACAAAATTTTGTTTACTTGTAAATAGTTCTACTTTTTTGTCTTGGTTTTATTGAAATTTGCAGATAGTTATATTCAACACAATTTTACTACATTAAACTATAGGCAGGTGCACATATATGACAATGAATCTGCTGTACAGAAAAATAAATTTGTTTATATATTAAAATTTTTATTACTCAGTGATAAATAAATATTTGTCTCTTGACTAATGTTCTCTGTTATTAATTTACTTACAGACAGAAAACAGAAACCTCAAAAAGCAGATTGCAACACTGTCAAAAGGAAAAGACAAGCCACTTACAACCTCGGGATGAATGTTGTCCATTTCAAGCCTTTTAGATGTATCCCCCTGAATTTTTAATTAACAGAATATTTACCTCTGCAACAATGGACTAAAACTTGCCCAGGGGTGCAAATGTATTTTTTTAATTTTCTATAAGTTATTTTTTAAATTGTATATTATCATGGATTGTAAAAGTTACGAGGAATAAGAACTCCTGCAGACTTAGTTTAGGCCTTTAACCCTAAGAGTGACCAGCATCTAATTTCTCCTTACAATATTACCCCTGGATCAAACATTAAGGTCTCGAGAATGAAGGAAATGATCAACAACTTGAGAAGCTCTTGATATGTAGACTAATTCTCCATGTCAACACCATAGAATATGGAGGGAGAACAGCATTGTGAATATGGATTCTATGTTAGGGTGTAAATGCTTAAATAACCTAATAATGGAAATTGCTTGCTGTGCAACTGGTAGCCTGTAAGCAGGCTCTCATTATCAGCATTGCAGCTTTTGTGTTTCTCCAGGTTATCCAGGTGTCTGGCACTGTTAATCACTGCCAGACCCCCTTGCACACCTCTTGTGGGCACAGGTTGCCCAAGAGAAAAAAAACGTTTGTGCTGAGGAGCTCATAATGAGGACTGTTCACAGGCTAGGTAAATGAAGAGAGACAAATCAAAATAGATTAGAAGTATCTTTCTTTTCTTTTGTGTAATAGAGGTTCTCTTTCAATAGGCCATTTCCGGGTTCTCACAGTGCAGTGATCTGCTGCTGAAATTACAACACAAGGACGAGGCTAAGTGCTAAGTCTGCTTTATCTTCCCTTTGCTGCCATCACTTAGCTGAATGCCTTTCTTCCAAAAAAAAATTGACTTTCCATTTTCTCTCGGGTTCACTACCGTGGCTCTTTATTCTTTATACCGATGAGAGAAAATTTTTATATAAACCATGTAAGTGAAAAAAACACTCCAACTAACTTCTACTTTCAACACACTACTGTGAAAACTTCAAAACTAGTTTCGTCTACGACCTCGTCAGCTCTTATATGGCGTTAAGTAATACTTTCTTGGCTTCAATCAGCATAATTTCACAATGAAAAAATTTTTACTCAGCCACATCCTGGTGTGGTAATTTCGGCACCAGATCACTGAACCATGAGACCTAGGCAAGGGCCTAATTATTAACCTCGATGACATAGTTTAGCTGAAGAGTGGGTTTTAATTAACAAATGGTAAACACCACAGCGTACACTATTGAGTTATGGATGCACGCGGGAGGTTACTAAGCACAAAAGAAGCGTAAGAGTCGCTCGAGGCGATAGCCTAGAGCGACTCTAGCTTCTTGAGTGCTTAGCAAACCTCCCAAGTGCATCCATAACTCAATAGTGTANNNNCAACGTGGTTCTGGTGCTTTGTTTAAGCTTTTGTTTGTTGTCTTCAGAACCACCAACTACGTCACTTCCTTTGTAAGATGAGATTTGACCGCGCGCAAAATGGACCCATTTCAGATTGCAAAATCCAAACTTTGAGGTTCAAAAAATAATACAAGAAAGTTCTTTTGGTCGGTCAAAATCGCTTAGCTGTGTTCATCAAGACATAAGCAAACAAACAGGGCAAAAAAAAAATTTTACTTCAAAGGCACTTTAAGGATGAATCCACTGGTTTGGTTTTGAGTGATAAATACCATTCTGTATATGGCTCTTTTTTAAATTTTTCAAGACCAATAAGTGTATTAAAAAATTTAAAACTTGGTTTGATATCAAATTAGTATTGTTTTACATGAAATGACTTTTAATTTCCCAACTCAAAATTTCATTGTGGTTGAAATAACAATTTTTATTTCAAAGCATCATGTACATGAAATGACTGAGCTTAAATTTTAAACAAAAACAGTTTTGCATTAAGGTTTAGTAAATAATATTTATTTTCCAATGGGTTAGTTAAGGATGTGCTATATATATATTTCAACTGTCTTGAAAATTATTTTAGGAAAACTCTCAACAATAGTTATGACTTATAATTCAAATGAATCATGCATTTGTTTGATGGAAATCATCCTTTCTTTGTTCAATTTTCTTTTTTTATTTAATAATTAGAACTGAATAAAACTTCTTGCAGTATTTTTATTATTCTTATCATTATCAATTGAGTCCTGCATTTCTATTTGTTGATGAGACAATCTGCAAAAGCAAATCCATTAAAAAGTGCACCACATACAAAATTGTTTACTGGAAAACTACTTGAAATCTTTTCTTATCTCATTAGTTAACAAATATAAAAAGTCAATTCAGTTTTAGCTTAATATTAAATAAAACAAAGAGTTCTCAATATTTTTATTATTAATCATAAACATCTGCATTAAAACATGAGACATAACTTGAACTCTGGTTGATCAATTTTATATACATGATTAGAGTGAGAGGTTCACAGAAGCTGCTGAGGAGAAATAATTGGGAAGTTTTTTTAATAAATTCAAGCACATTCATTGCACCGATGAGCAACATCAATAGCTAGGAATTGTTGTTTTTTGCTTTCCAGCCTACTTTTGACAGGCTGTAAGCACATAAGCATCTTGTGGTGATTTATTTCATTACTGCTGCTTGATGAATGGCAAAATACTTCAAATTCAGACAATTAATCTCTCATTAGCAAATGTGATCAGGGGAATCAAGGTTTGGACTTAGTTTCTATTAGTTGACAAGGTAACAAAGAGTGCAAAGAAACAATGTACAACATCATGTACCAGAGAGGTCCACAGACGTACAATTTGACATCTGCCACTCATCAGTGTGGTCCACACTGACAGTAAAGTAAATATACCTAGTACATTTGCAGAGAGGTGATGTTAGTGTTAACTCTGTAAGGGCACATCAGTCTGTTACAGAACTCAAGAGATCCTTCTTGCCATACGACCATTCAGCTTGCTAGACAAAGAAACCTCAGTGAACTGCTTAAATGTTGATAGCCATTAATTCCAGTGGGATTTGTTAGGCAACTAACCAAACTGTGTAAACGATACACCAATCAGATCTACAGCTGGGGGCTTATGGCATGCTGATGCTCCTCACAGTGTCTTCACCGTGGATGGGATTGAGCCAAAATTTTTTTGCTTCTCACTTCCTTGTCCTGTAGCACTTTTATTTGTGCATCCTTTCGAGTTATCTCCTCTCGTGCTGTGAGATACAGGCTTGAGATGTTTTTCTTAAGCACGAAGTTTTCATCTTTCAGTTTTTTGTTCTGAAAATGAGGACAAGGTTAGTTAGGTTACATCTTGTAGGGTTTCGGGCAGCCCATTGTTAACAAAGCACTCTCTTGTTCCTGGAGCTTGAAGTGACAAGGGATAATACTCCCTTCCTGAATGGATATGCCTTTCTTGACTTTTTCCTTAAAATCTGCTGGTATCTGCTGGGTAAAGCGTCCAAAAAGTACACAACACATAAACGAACCAACCACAGCTTCGCACTGGCTTATGTTGCCTGACAGTTGACACACTTTTCTTAATAACATGATCAGTGTTGCCCGTCACACTAGTTATGGTAAGCTTACAGATGTGTATACCAAGGAATAAAAACAACTCAATTAAAATATTTCAGTGCTAACCTCAGCTTTAAACTTCTTAATTGTTTGCTGACTTTCTTCATACAATTTCTTCAACTGAAAATGAAGCAGATTCATAATCAAAACTATTTTCAAAAAGTTTAACTCAAGTACAAACCTTTAAAATAATTAAAAGGGCAAATTATTAATAAATTCACCAGTCAATCATTAAATAAATCAATCAATAATTCATGAAGTAAGTCTGACAGCTGCTTCAACTTAACATAATGATTAAATAAATAACCCTTTTCGACAGAACATCAATAAAAAATACCTCGGGATATGTTATTTCCTGGTTGAGGTCCACAGAAAGATCCCCATACAGATCAAAATCCAGAGAATCTAAACAAAAAAGGAAATTAAACGAACATAGCAAAAAAAATTAATCTTTACAGCTGATCTTCGCTTTACTAATAATGTTTACACTTGATAATATTCGCAGCCTTCATCGGTAGATCCTGGTATATGAGTTTTCTTGGAAAATAAAGTTTTACTACCTTCATTTTGGATACGAACAGGCGAATTTATCTTGTCATGACCATCTACTGGATCTATTTTATCCATACAATCTTCATTTTCTGCCATATTGAGCTATAAAATACTGTTGACTATGAGCGTCGCGCGGTATTGCCGCTATTTAGTAGAGATATACTTCATGTAAGGTCTCTTTAAATCTCCCATACGGCAAGATTGTTTGCGAGAGTTTCAGATTTGGTGTGCACTTCTGATAGGATTCTAAAAATTAGCTATGTCAATTTTTTGTTCAGGAAAAAAGAATGGATAGGTTATTACGTCAGCTAGAATGAAAATTCAAAGGTGCTTTGGGAAATGTTAATGGTAACATGAAGTATTCACGTCAAGCTTTCGATAAAGCACAAGTAGCCCAGTCTCACGTGATTAATGAAAACAACGACAGAACACAGGCAAAACTGCCAAAAACTCTCATACATGTGGAGGTAAGGTAAAGAGTTATGCTGATTTTTCAGTTGACTTCAAATTTACCTCTAAGTAATCGCTAATAGTTTTTTGTCGCGCAGGAACGGATTCTCGCACTTAAGCTTGGGTAGCCTGTGGTGGTGAGATTAGCTGGCAACGACAGGCGCGTTCCGACCAATGTGCAAGGACTTCGCGTGCGTGTCATCTCTGTTCCTGTCAGATTTTGGCTTAGAACTCCACGGCTCAAATTGCATCCAGTCGTAGATGTGCAAGATATCTCCTGCAGGAATGCTACTTAAACGACACTCTGCATCGACTGAAATCGATATTGAGTCGGTTAATCGCGTCTCAAATGACATTTCTGAACAATATGACTTCCTCCTCGATCCTCCGGTTGTGATAAACAAAACCTGTTTATGAGGCTCGTAAAAGCACAATGCACGGTGCCTACCAAAGAACGTGGAGTAGTGATACCCAAAATGTAATTTCAGGAATGGCAAGCGGGTTGAATTTGGATAAGATTGCATTTAATTTGCGCTACTCAAGCGACAGGGTTTCACGCTCTAACCCTTGGCCAAGATCACTTCTGAACGGAGATTTCATTTTGATTGCTGAGTTCGCCGAGAATGAAGGACCTAAGCCAGTAGTAAGTTTGACAGAATTAAAAACGCCGTTATTGGCCCCGATTAATTTCCTGGTTGTTTAACAAATTCTCAGTATCATACAGAAAATCAAAGAGATTATTTAGTTGTAAACATGCAGATCGATAGATTTATTATTAGTCATAGCGTGACTTGTGAGATTTGAATCTTTAACTTTGTAGTTGCAATTTGAGCCAATTATTAATAAAACAAGCTGGTATTATGAAATAAGAGGTTGCGTTCTATTTTAGCCCGTGATTGCACTGTATTTAGGTAGATCATACCCGTTCGATTGATTGAAGTGATAGTCTATAGGGAACATCAAATCCCTCAAAGGGGTCTGATAGGAAATCACTAGTAAAAGGTGATTCAGATACAATAGATGTACATGACTGTATATTAAATAGCTCATCTTGGTCATTGTTTTTATTGCAAACAGCTGAGTTGCAGCAGGTGATTAAACCCTGAAATCTGTTGACAGAAATCCATAGTGCGACCATCTTATTCCTTATAAGTTATTAAATATTACCATTGCAACAAATTTTTGTTTCATTTTTGCTTTGTGATTTCTTTCCCCCATTCTCATTAGATGACAATTCCTCAAAATGCTGGAGAAAATTTTGATGTGAATGCCTTTGCTCTTCATGTAATGTCTGTGGACTATACGCAATCCAGGTATGATAACATGAAACTTTAATTTTCATCAATTAAAAGTGTTCAACTGTGTGAGGTTGGGATGATCTACCATCTGGCTCTAATTATTTACCTTCTTGTTCTTATAATTTAAGTTTTTTATGATTTTTTATTACACAACTCGGGCAGTCAAAGGGCCAATAACTAAAATCAACCAATCAAAATGCTCTATTGCCGGTCAATATTCTCTCAGTATTGGACCGGGCACTGTCCTGAATGGTCCCGAATGATACCGCACTTGTGTCCCTTTGAACTTCAGTTGTATAATAAATCTCTTATTAACCAAGCTTGCTTGGGACCATGCTGGAAGAATATCGGCCCTCAGTCTTTTTTGTACGGACCGAGCGCAGCAAATATTCTCCCAGTACAGCCCTCGCACTTGGTTAATAAGATATATATATTCTGTGCAGTGAAGTCTTACGTATCTTCCTTATATGACACCTAGTGAAATGACTCAAAGTATATTAAATATATAAAACTGAATTTGAATTTGGCAATTGGCAAGCACTTAAAGAACAACCACGGTCTGGAAACCATCGGCGACCTTACCAACAACTTTTCTGTCTTAAAGAGGTGTAACGGAAAACTGGACTGTCTGATTTATGAAATGTTATTCATAAAGAAGAAAAGGCCATGCTTGAACACACAATCAGACTCCATACGCGCAAAATTATGTATTTAAATTTTACTTAAATTTGTCACTTTTTACATGTATACTGTACGTTTTATTTCCTTGCTCGGTATATATTAAGTTGTCAAAATTTTACTCTCTTTTCACTTGAAAATGATGACATGGCATCATCGAAACATAGTGTAAAACTTCTTTCACTTATTTTTATCATTAGATGTTCAACTAAATCTAATCTTATTTGAATTTAAATTATGACTTTTCTTTATCTCTTTATCTCTTCAGGGGTAGCAACTTTTCCATTGTTGAAGATACTCAGCTATTTTTAACGGAGAGAAAAGATGGAATCTATGCCTATGTAAGCTCTATAACAAGGTTTTATCCCCTCAAATTCTTCACAACTCTAATTATTTTGTTGTGGGCTAAACAATTAACCAGGCTGTGTTTTATTTCATAGGTTCACCATTTTACTCTTTATGATATTCATGCTCGTGGCTTTGTGAGACCTTACTGCATGTGCTACATTTCACACTGCAAAAGGTATTTATTATCAGCATTGTCAATAAGTTGAAAGCAGAAGACAAATAAAGAAGTAGTAGGTGAGCAGGTTATCAACTGAAGTTGTTTGATTGGATTACACATGATTGCGTGCAGGGAACTATTTGGTTTGAACATGCCCCAAGTATTCTACAAAATTAGCACCAACTTTCAAGCAAATTCTAAACTTGGAATTGAATCACATGTTTAAGACTGTTACTAGTACAGTACATAATTATGTAAATATTGCATTCCACTCCAATCAAAACTAGGAAATGGCTGCAGTGCAAATGTCTTCAACCCTATGTCAATAACTGTGCGATTTTTCATTAGCATTTTTGATAAAATGAGGTAAAAGTAGGCAGCTTAAGATGGAGGACAAGCTGGGGGCTTTGGCTGGCTGCCCGTTCCTTTTGACAGCTCTGATTATTAAGTTACAAGTAGTTTGTAAAATTATTGATTTGTCTTCAGATATTGTACTTTCAAGTGTATTTGTATTGCAAAGATAATGATTTCAACTAATCCAGTTCAATTCTGAAGTCTGGTCACCTGCTTGAGCCTGTGAACTCATGCAGTTGGCTGATTAGCGTACAATTCAAAACAATCATAGTAATCATCAATTATTTGTTAATGAAAAGGGTTTATGAAAAAGAACCTTCAATGACTTGGTAGAGTGCTGGAGTCTCCTCAAATTCTCTGGTTTTCTAGAGCATTTGATGTCACATTACAGAAGTCATCTAAACAGGGTTTTATCCCATATATGACCTTTCTCTTTTTCAGCTTTCACAATGTACATGCACATGTACGCTCATTTTTATTTACTCACTGCTCTCTTTTTCCTCTTTTGTTTTTGCAGAAAAATGTTTTCTTTTCTTGACAGTTTTATGGATGAATTTACCAAGGTGAAGTCTCAGTTCACTCTGAATTAAACTAATGCTAAACTCATTTCTTTTTAGACATAATAATTTAAAATATGAATCTCTTTCACCAGTCTTTTTGATTTAATGACTGAGGAATTCAATTCAAATATTTTTTTTTAAGGTGTCCCAGTTATTTAGGCATGGAAACAGAATAACATTCCTAAGAGACCTAGAGGAACGTTTATGTGATGTTTTACTGTTAAAGGAGAAAAGTATCTGTAAGTTTTGATATGTGAATTATGATCCAAAGTGTACCTACGGATGTTTAATGTTTTCTTTGGTTCTAAAATTTTCAAACCAGTTTCAGATTAATTTTCCTCAGCCTTGGATCTATTATCAGAATCTGATTTAAACCTGAAAGATTTTTCCATGTGTTGGAATAGAACTGGATGGATCATTTGCCAGATGTGTGAATCAATTGCATGTTTAGAATTTGAATGAAGATTCCTGCAAACTTTGAGGAGTACTTGGGACATTTTAACTGACCAGTCTTCTTGTATGGGCTCCATGAAAACTTGGATCTCTACCAAGAATCTTCGTTTGCCTTTTACTTTCAAGCTTATTCATCACCTTACCTACAGCAAAAGAGGAAGAGTGTTGACTAGATTGACAATCAAAAACATTTCCCCCAAAAACTGAAGAAATTGCTTTCTCATGATATTTAATCATTATACTTACATACATAGTTACATATATATGTTAATCGACCACTCCCCATGGGGGCTTTTCAGGGCCAACTCCCACCCAGCAACCACCCCAGGGGAGGACATCCATCACACAGTAATCTCGTGCATGGGAAATTAAGATCTCCTACCCCTAACCCTGCAGGAGACGGGACCTCCATTTATTCGTCCCATCCGAGAAGACTAGAGTATCTA